TGTAGATAAAGAAAGGATTGCGGCACTTCCTTACACGGTTCAATCTAAACTCAATACTCCTTTTTTCCTACCTTACTAGCCTATAATACAAAATGAACAAAAACACACTGCTATGAGCCTCAAACATGAGATATTATATCTACAGCCCATAAAAGTGCAGTTTTATACAGCAGTCTGATGAGGCTTTCTCTGTACGGCTCAGTGGAAGCGAGAGATTTCAGGAAAGGTAAGGCCTGCACTCTCGTAATTCCAAGCTGATTTATGTGTGTGCTTGTGTGTGTCTGTGTGTGTGTGTGTGTGTGTGTGTGTGTGTGTGTGTGTGTGTGTGTGTGTGTGTGTGTGTGTGTGTCTGTGCGTGCATGTGCCCCGTCTGGCTGTCTGGGTGATGTACAACTCTAATAGATAGTGTTTGATCATGCAGAGAGGGAGCTCTGTGAGGGACGTACACTCGCATGTGTGTTAGCGTCACGGGGAAAGCTTGTACCAGCAGATGGTGCTCTTGTTTTATCCTTGAAGAGCTCACTCCCTCTCTTTCCCACACTCACATTCACACAGAGTCTTGTCCTCAGGTTCCAGACAGTGTGAGGAGAAAACCACCCATCCTGGTCAGATGATTGAGATTGCTGAAATGGTCTCACACACGTCACTAAACAACTGTTTCTGCTGAACAAGTCTCCTCGGTACCACCGGGCTCAAGTCACCACTCTTGCTCCAGGCAGCAACTGCTTGCTCAGCTAATGCGAATTTGGCAGACTGCAGTAAAATACAATACGAGTGCCAAACCATAAAGCAATCACGCTCTCTGGCTATCCATTTCAATCCTTCCTATACTCTGCTGGTGACCTCAGTGATGCAAGGAATTCACAAAACAATCTCCAATGCAGCTGAACCGTCAGACTGCGCTGTTGACATGAAGTAGATGCGTCCAGACGGTTGCATAATTGTTCATGGATAAAATATGGTGTGTTTTCACTGAACAATTAGCTTCCTGGGATTTAAGTAGGTCACTTCTTGTGGGTGTGCTGCATGAATGCAAATGCATCTAATTCTACCTTCCTCAAGCCTTGGCTTCCCCCTCGTGTGAGCTGCCTCTTTGCCAAGGTAATCCAAAGTATGGATCTGGAAAAAGAGGCTTTACATACAAATGGATGGGGAGGAGAGAGAGCAGAGAGAAGGAGCTGGGCAGACTTAAAAGACACAGGAACGTAGCTAATGTATGTTGTAGATGGATGGAAAACATATATTTTCCACACTGGCAGAGGGCAAGATGGTTCAGAGGCTTTTGCTGCCACATTTCTAAATGAGTGATTACTCCAAAGTGGGTAATAGGCAGCCAGGAACTGCTGGAGAGAGTTAAGACATGGAGCAAAGGCCTGCTGGGCATCCAGGCAGGGATCCATCCCTTTGCCTCTCATACTCTGACTCATACTCTCTACGTGGGCAATCCATGTACACACACATAACCTCACACACACACACACACACACACACACACACACACACCGTGCTCCCACACTTGTAAAGTCATGTGAGGAGTTTCCATCTTACTGCACATTCACACACAAGCACATTTTTATGCACAAAACAAAACAAAACATGTGATGTAGCTCTTCTGTCTTCATGCCTCTCTCTCTCTCTCTCTCTCTCTCTCTCTCTCACACACACACACACACACGTACACACGCACACACACGCACACACACACAAACACACACACACACACACACACACACACACACACACACACAGTACTGCCTTACAAATCCAATAGCACCTACATTTTTTGGTCTGAATTTCTGATGTCTGTTTTACCTTATAAAAAAATAAAAATAACTTTTGAAATAAACAAACAAACAAACAAACAAACAAACAAATAAATAAATAAACAATGTAAGAATTGTATAAGCAACAAAAGAAAACAACAACAACAACGACAACAACAACAACAACAACAACAACAACACAAACTGCAGTGGCCATGCTCTGACTAGTTAAGGCTATAGTTGGAGCGCAGTCAGTGAGCCTTAGCTAAAGATAATTTACTGCCTTTTCTGACCTGTTCCCTGTAACTGAAAAATCTATTTTAATGCTCAGCTTAATAACAGAGTTATGTGTTATACCGTATAAATTAGCCGTTGGCCAAATCTGCTGTCCTGCTGTACTTAACACAGAGCAACAACTTTCTTATCCTTTTCTCTCATCTTCATGTGAGGGTTATGAGGTACTGCTTCTCCCAAGATTTAACATTCAGTGCTTAAAAGTCCATAATCCAAATATGAAAAGGGTCAACCCACCAGCAAAATTAAAAACACAGGAACCTAGTGTTACTTGTGAATTGATTGGCAGGTCTTTTAATACATAGATTAACACTGAACAACAACCAAATCCTAATTATTAATGTTTCAGAGGCTACAAAATGTGTGTTTGCATCTGTGATGTTTTGAAACAGTAATATTCTCATGTAAGATTAACAAACTACTTTTTCATAATTGAGACAAATTTACAGTTTGAAGTGTGAATTTGGCTCCGATCTATGTAAGAATTTGGACTGAAATCACACTACAGCCAAGAACACGTTGTACCCAACAAGGACTCTCACACTTTGGGCTCTATTTCACTCTCACACACACACACACACTAAAACAGTAAAACACACACAAAGCAGGGAGGAGTGGGCTCTTTATTGGTACTTACGTCAGGGTGGAAAGAACATTTTCTTGCCCATATTCCTGTCTGAGGTTAACGGGCAACATCCGTCTCTTCCTCACTCTCTCCCTCCCACTTTCTCACTTCTCCAACTCCCTCGTCTTAATTTCTCGCTCTTACCTCGCCCACCTCTCTCTCTCTCTGTCTGCCTCCAACACACATTCATTTATGTGTGGGAGAGCCTTGCTGCCAGCACTGGTCCACAGGGACCCTTTCACGCTCCTGATGTGCACAGTGGCTGCTGATTGTAAACTTATGTGCCCCTGCGAGTGAGTCATGTGAGGTAAAGAAAGAGTTTGTGTGTGTGTGTGTGTGTGTGTGTGTGTGTGTGTGTGTGTGTGTGTGTGTGTGTGTGCGTGTGTGTTGTGTTTTAGAGACAGCTGGGTACAGCTATTAAAGAAACAGTCAGGCTACTGAATTTTCCTTTTATAATGTGGTGATCAGCTTTAACCAGTGACACTCACTCAAAGCATTATGGCATTCAGTTCCACAGGGTGTAGACAATAGGCCAAGCACAGGAACAGATATCACCTCAGGTCTCTGGGGTTTTATACACATACACACACACACACCATGGAGCCATTTGTAAAAAAGAAAAGAAAAAAAAGCTCAGTTATTATTAGTATCGTCCTCATCACTCAACCGGTCATTGTGAGGACAAATGATCAGTGTCCTCATTGCACAATAATGAATTTTTCATCTGTGTCTGAAGGAATTTTGTCAGTTATCAAACTCAATGGAAAAGGGATCTTCTTCTTTTTTTTTTTTTTTTTATTATTTCGGTTGATCTATCGTGGACTTCCCTGCATGTAAACTCCCATACAGGGCAATGGGGCAATAAATGATTGTAACCCACACAATGTCTGTGCTACATGTTTTGATCTGTATTTCTTGTCTATTAGTTTGAACCTGCAATAAGAGATTTTTTTTTTCTTGGCCACTTGGAGGCAGTGGAGGGAACCTATTCTCCTTATCTCCATATCTCCTTATAAAGTTGATGTTGATACGTGTTGGCAAACACTTTATTCAAGAAATAGATGCAGAGCAACATTATTATGCATTTGGAGTCAAGTTTGTATTCACTTGACAAAAGTAAGTACATTTCTCTTTTACCTTTAGTTTTGCTCTCCTCCAACACCTGAGGGAAATATCTGGCTCTTTAGCTGCTGAATTCTTCACTGTGCGCTCATCCAAGCTTTTTCACTGAAATCAAAAACAACACTAGAGGTGTGATAGTGAACCAAAACGCCATAAAAGGTCAGTACAGCTGAAGGAAACTACAAATTCAGTAATAAATTCAAAATTCTTGAGTTTAATTAACAATTAGTAATTTGATCCAGTGTTAATATGAAAACATTAGTTAGTGCAGATTTAATTGATTTTGTTTTCAGTTTCCTTGTAGTGAGATCATAATTTTAGCGTTTTCTGCACTGTAGCTATAAGTGACAATATTGTGTGATGATGGTGAATATTAAAACAAAATAAAGAGGAAGCATAAACTCATCAAACTGAATGAGCAGTGGCAATTACACAGCGACATCTCATAAGTTTGCAAACATGAGCAGAAATTAGCCACCATCAACTACTGATCACACAATATGTTACTGTGTTCTTTGAACGTTATATAATCTCACTTTAAATGTTCTCATGCATCTCTTCTCCTTATGTAAAGCACTTATGTAAAGCCTCTGTTTGACAGATGCTCAGCTGGCCTCCTCTTGACAGTTACTGGGCTGAGTTTGAATTTGTTCAAGTCATGTCATCTGGAAGACATTCATCTCCCAGAAATAATTCAATAAAATTTAAAAATGAGTCGTTTACCATCGCAGCGAACTGAATCTTTGATAAGTGTCTTTATTTGCTTATATTTACTTTTATCTTGGTTGATTTTGACAGTTACTTTGGTTTATTTTGTTTATTAGCTAAAATATAGTATAAACACACATAACTAAAGATTACATGTTCAGTTTTGTGTAAAATGCACTTTTGTTCACAAGAGCCACGCTGCAGTGCTGATATTGTACCAGCAGGTGGCAAAACACAGCCTTGCAGTTCTGAGTGGATCTGCTCCGACTGCTTCAGGCAGCATGACCACAGGGAAATAGACTGACTTCACGCTCCTCAGTCCACTGCCAGCATGACGGCACTCCATTACTCAGCTTACGGGCAACACATACGCACACGCACGGACACACACGCACCGTGCACATTAAGACCACATGCACATTAAGAGCTTCTGCGTTTTTATTTTTAATAGAAAAAAAGTATTCAAAATAATACAACAGGAAGTATCCAGGAAATATGACAAAAAAAAAAAGAAAAAAAAAAAGTGATCAGGTCTGTGTCTCCACGGCAACCACGCATCCTCACCTTGAACTTGCTGCTTCAGTGCCTGAGTGTGTGTGTGTGTGTGTGTGTGTGTGTGTGTGTGTGTGTGTGTGCGTGTGTGTGTCGATCGAGATCGAGAACACTGAAACAAAGCAGAAATACAGAGCTTTACAGAATACCTCTGATCGATGCACATGACAGTCTCCTGGTGTAATGAAAGGGATACAACAATGTGTGCGTATGTTTGTGTTGTTTTCATGTACACGTAAAGGTGCATTGGAAAGAGACTGTGTTACCAAATGTACAATAAAAGACCCCATGTATGTGTGTGTCAGTTAGGATCTGCTGTGTTATGTTACATAAAGGAGGATGGATTGGGTTGAGACACAGATGCTCTGAATTATACAGCTTTGCTGTGTTGATGAGGAAGATGATAATGACATCAAAGATGACGATGATCATATACTACGGAGGAAGCCAAGAGTCAAACAAACTGAAGAAAAAAAAAAAAACATCAGAAATGGGAAAAAAATAACTGAATGAGTGGCTGCGGAAAAGAATTTAAAAAAAAAAAAAGAAAAAAAAAGGTCCTTGACTTCAGAAGGCAGGAGGAGTTTAGAGTTTCTAAATCACCAGCTTGCTCCCTACTCTCTCTTATTAAAATATCCCAAATTTTTCCCTCTTTCTTCTCCACCTTCCTTCACTCTCCCTCACCCATTCTCTTAGTCCCTTGTGGCCCAGGCCAGCCTGGCTATGGGTGGGCAGGCCAAACAGTTCAGAGTGGATCCTGGCGGCGTTACATAACTCCTTTGCTTTCAGCATCCTCTCCTCCCCGGGCTTCCTTTCTTCTCCACTTATATGTCTCTCAGTCCTCCACACACCCACCAAGTCAATATTTGTCCTCACTTGGCCTCCATATTTCGGAGTTCCTTTGTCCAAATGCAAGGGTTAAATATTCAGGATGGGACCACGGAGGGTAAGACAGACAGACATGGAGGGACAGATGGAGGGTCGAGGAGCTGCTGTCGTCCCACTTGAGGAAATAACTCTGTTTGACCTGACAGTGGCAAGTCCTTCTCTCTCTTCACAATGATGTGTGCCCATCCGTCATCGTATCCTCCTCCATCTCTCCCTCCTTTCATCTGTCTGTCCCTTCATTGCTCTGCCACCTCCATCTGTCCGCTCAGGGGCCTGAAGGGGTGAGGAGCTAAGAGAGGAAGGCGGTAGTCTCTGAAGAAAGTTTTCTTTATCCCATTCTCTCTCTCTCTCTCTCTTTCATTTATCCCCCACTCTTTCACTTACGATTAAAATACTATCTTTGCCATATCTTCATAAAACACACACATACTCATACCAACACATAGTGTCCCATAACAAACAATCCTACTGATAAAACACTGATTCAGCTCTCCCTCTTACACTCTCAGGCACACATAAGCACACGTGTATGCATTTAGACACACACACACACACACTCTCCCTCACACACACACTCACTCACACACACACACACACAGTGAGGCTCTCTGTGGGGGTGAATTCTGGGGGCCTCTGTGCTATGTCCCATCTTCCGCCTCCTCTTCTGAACAGTAGTCTCGCCCCTGCAAAAAATAGTAATTAGAGAGAATATGAGATTGTGTTTTTTTTACACTCTAATTTGTTCCAGTTAAGTAAACTCAGTAATAACCTTCTGCAAATGACTCTCACTGAACTGTCTGCATGCAGCAAACTCCCCACACACCTGTTACTCCAGTCACGTTTAAACAAACCCTTGTCTATTTACAGGTACTGGCGTAGAAAATACTGGATGAGGCAGTAAAGCAAAGGGCGAGTGGGCAGTTAGCTTTGTTTTGTCTCTTCAGTCATGATGTGGAGCTAACTCAACTGCTTTCCTTTCCTCTCCAGAGCTCATCTAACTGTACACTCTGTGTCTCTTCAAACAAGCTTTTAAAATATTGGCTGCAACAGTAATATACTGAAAATCAGTGGAAGGAAGTAACAAATAAAAGGTGCCCAAGTTCTATTTTGATGTACTTTGCTGTCATTTTTCTATTCAATGCTATTTTATACTTATCATCAATACATTTTCTATGAAAACATTGCACCAGTAACTCTAAATTTATTTGACAGCAAAATTGATTTGTTATTTTCCAGATTAAGATATAATACACAAAACATATGATCTTTTTAGATTAAACTACTAGACAGTTTATAAGGGAATTAAACCTGCTAAAAACACAACATGGACATATTTTATATGACCTTATAAAGTTGATATGGTGAAAAAACAGTTGCCCATTGACAAATCCAACAGACACACAGCAGCATTAGCATTCATTTGGAGTCATGTTTCTTTCCACTGAATGTAATTCCAACACTCACTCTCCTTTTTACTCTGTTTTTGGTCTCCACCAACTCCCAACCAAATCCTGTTAGCTAAAGCTGTCTGCTGTTTGGTGCTGTGCACATAGTGTATGGTGGGTACGTCAAAGCTCTTTTGCTGATAACAGCTGCCTGTTTCAGCTGAAAACGATGCTATGAGAGTGACAGTGAATCAAAACGATGAAGTTGCGGGTCCAAAAACCAAAAGAATGAGCTGAAAGATGTAAAAAACAATGTAAAGTTGGATTATAATTCTGCATGGGTTTGCCACTATGTGTGACCCTTTTTAAGTTATACATAATTAAAATTTGATTAGATATTCATTAGAGCAGCTTTAAATATATACATATACATATATACATAATACTTGTGTTTAGTTTAAGTACTATTTTGAACGCAGGACTTTTACATGTAACAGAATATTTCTGCACTGTGCTATTGCTACATTCACTCAAGCAAAAGACCTGAATTCTTCTCCCACCACTGCAATGAAAAGTTTGAAGGCAGAGTTGAAAAATTAAATGGATCACATGACAAGCTCCTGAAGCTGAATCTAGTCATTACTCACTGAGATTTCACTTTGCAACCTCATTTATAGTCAGAAACAACCAGAGTAATTCAAGTGGATGACAAAGAGTAGTAAGTGCTCATCAGTGCAGCCGTCACCTGTTCCTCCCCCTCACATGTGGAGCTGAGTGTTGAGCTCGTAAGTAGAATGACAATGTGGACTAATGGATGTTGTTGTTGTAAAGCCTGTCTCTTTAAATGTTAAGACCCAGCTGTTTCTTTAAATGCTCCGAGACCCATTCCCTGCTCCTCATGCCCCCCCCAACCCATGAAATGAAAATATGCACGCACACACACACACACACACACACACACACACACACACACACACACACATTTATACACAGCCCCCCCCCTTCACCTTCTCAATCTTCTCATCCAGCATCCTGAAAAATTCCTGCTGGCTCTCTGACGTGTGAATACTGAGAGAGAGGGGGAGAGAGAGAGAGAGAGAGAGAGAGAGAGAGAGAGAGAGGGAGGGAGGAGAAAGAGGGTGAGAGAGGAAGTTGGAGGTTGCAGAAGAGGAGGAGAAGGGAGGCAAGAAATACATCATGAGAATTTTCCATTACACCCCCCACACAGCACAAACACGCACGTTTGGACGCACGCATGCACGCACACACACACATGTACACACACAATCCTAACTGCAGTGTGAGAAATCCATCATTGTGAGGCTGTGGATGAATTTAAATAATTATTTTATAAAGTATTAACCCAATCTTTCATCCAAAAGGTTAAATACTCTGCAGCCACCAGCAACTAACAGGATTGCACACACACACACACACACACACACACACACACACACACACACACACACACACACACACACACACACACACACACACACACACACACACACACACACACACGACTGAACACCTCCATTTTAACAACGAAAGCAATCATGGAATCTTCTTGTTGAACTAAATTTGAAGTTTTTGACTCATCCAGAGGCTGAACACACTCATGGCATTTGTTCTACAGTGGAAATAAAACATTGCTCAGAAAGTTCACCCCAACACTGTTGCAGAAGTTTCCACGTCTGTCTCCCTTTGTTATTGATATCAATATACATATATAGATTTATTAGCGAGTGAGTTCGGCCAAATTACAACATCACATAATTAAAACAAATTCAACAGCGCTAATTGGAACTACTTTCTATGGAAGAAATACTCCCTGTGACGATTTCAATGCTCTGAGCACCAAAGATAAATTCTGTTATTCACGATCACGTGTTTAGGTTATCAGAGTTGTCCATTATATATAGATCATATATTTTGGCACAGTTCCAACAGACATCTACAGTATGCAGACTGATGCCAGACACTTACTTGGACTTGATGTTTGCTGCAGCGACCTCTTTCTGCTGTTTGCCCCTGTACTGTACATTACTCTTCTCCTGAAACACACAGACACACACACACCATTGGCTTTCATTATAAGCTGATAAAGCAGTTAAGAAACAAACAACTCATATCAGCAAACAGCCACACCACAGAAGACATATGTCACTTCAAGCCTGCATTATCAAATGACCTCCTCGCCCAGCTGCCACTGCACTACAGCCATGGACGTGGGCAACAAATGTAATATATGTAGGTCTAAGAAAACATGAAGGTTACATCGTACATTCCCTGCTAAGTTTCTGTGAGCTTTGTGTACATTATCCTGCTTTGGTAAAATCTTGCAGTGATCAACCAACAAATACTGTAACGTGCATCTACAGTAATGACAAATGGAAGGAAACAAATACTGGTCTGACATGTGTCTGTGTAAAAATGTACTTTTGGTCTTTCAGTGACTCACTCAACCGAGTAACAGACCACGTCACCATATCATTTAAACAAGACAACAGTCATTTCAATTTCTGCAGTTAAAAAAAATGACAGAAAATTGTTTGTGTGTGACTTTTGCGATAGCCTACATCAAACTGTGTGTTTGATAGGAGGTGCTTTCTCTCATGGCCGCAGCCAGTTGCTTTGACAAGGCTGTTTTTTGTTTTTTTTGAGCTATAGTAATATAATTTGTGGCAGAGTGACACTACTTCTGTTTTTTTAATCAGGATTTAAAAGGTACACTCGTTATCGTTACACCACTTGCCAGGATGCCAGGCTTGAATGACCTGATTTACTGAACAAACAACCCGGCTCTCACTTCACACTACCACACTTTGCAGTCATTTCACGTTTCGGAGGCTAAATGTGCCTAAATTTATTACCAGTGTGCATTATTTTGCGAGAAAGATTAAACAATCAGGTTATTTGCAAGGTTATTATGAGAAAATGACCTGACCAGTGACACTACAACGCTTCTTTACGTTTAAGACCTACAGGTTTTTGCGGGGAGGAAATCAGCCTCCACATTCCACACACGCTGACATGTTGTCTCTACCTGCGTGTGAGGCGCCTCCTTGTGTGTTCGTGTGTGTGTGTTTCCGCACTTGTGCGAGAGACAACTAAGTGTGTATGCGTAGGCTGATAAAGCTGCCTTTGGACACAAACACGAGCCTGTTCGCTTGAGTTGATGAACTGTCAGGAAAAGGTCTGAGTCTGTCTGTGGATGACAGGCTGTCAGTGGACGGGTGTGTGTTTTTGTGTGTGTGCGTCTCTCACCAGGTTCTCCTGGTTGCGTGCATTCACCCGGTTTTCATCCCCCCTCATGTACTTCACCTCCTCCACTCCCTTCATCTTGTATTCATCTGAGGAGAGAGAGAGAGAGAGGGTTGGATAGAGAAAGAGAGGTATGATTAAAAAAGGGAAAGAGAGGCAGGAGGGAAATAAACAACAACGAGTATTTATGAGGGCTGTCTCCCGGAAAAAGAAACACTGACCAGACTCTCTTCATTCATCCTGATGTGAAAGGCTCCAATAACTGAACAATGTCATATCAGCTCTACTGTACGCTCACTGCATTATATCAACATTACCAATGACTATTCCATTAAATCCAGCTATAATTTGTCCAAGGTAATCTGATAACTAAGACCTGACACAGTGTTTCAGAAAGTGGACATGGCAGCTGAGGTATAAGTAGGAGGACACTAGTCATCTCCTTTCCATTTTATCTACAGCAACTCATCTGAGGAAAGAGAGACAACAGAGAGACAGCAAGAGCGAGAGGGAAAACACATGTAGCGTGTAAGTGAAGTACGAGAGGAGACAGAAGAGACAAGAGGGAAAAAAGAAAAACGGAACAAGATAAGAAGGAGCAAGCTGGAGGGGATTAAAGATCAGTTGAACAGCTTCTAGGCTACATGGACAGCTTAGACAGTTAAGACAGTTAAGACAAGCACAGTGGCAGCGAGAGTGGTAACACTTCCACAAGACTGCATGGCACCAGCACCACGCCCAGCGCCGCGCATCCTGAATCACTGCTGAAGCTAAAAATTAGGGCAATAAACCTGACATTATGCGTCTCTCACTGGTCCGAGGTTACTCCTACTGCAACAGGGTCTGAATCCTGTGTAATTCAGCTAAGAATAGCTCAAATAACCAGTGATATATAACCTGAAGTACAACCAGTCAATCAGCCCACAGGAGTACAAAATATGTAGCTGGTTATCTACTGTGTTCATCAGGAAAAACAAATCAGTGACACATATCTTCAGGTCCAAATAGAGATATGTCTGTATTATAGTGGTTTAACATTTCAAATTATTATATTATAAGATATATATAATAAGACACAGTATAAACATCCTCTACTCAACACTGCTACTGCCCTACCAGTTGAAACGTGTGAGATAATGTGTGGTACAATGACTGTCTTCATTCTTTCATTAATGATTATTACTGTCCATTATTTTTTACGATTAACTCATTAATCATTTAGTATGTACAATAAATAAATATAAATAAAAATGCTGATCGCAAATGTATTCAACCTACAATTATATATATAAAAACATAACCTCTGTTGCATCATCATTGACAGATGTAGTGCTGCATGACTGTAATGTGTCAAATGCGATGTAGTGGATCATGGGATTGTTAGCAGAAAGTTTTTCAGAGCACTACGAAGTGCAGAAATTCTACACTCTGGATTCAGACACTCAAATAAAATGGGAGAAAGTAAAAACATTGCACTATATAGTAAATGGGCAGTGATTTCAGACACAGCCTGACTGTTTCAGCACTAATTGCATTAAGGCACAAAAAATCCCCGAAAGGCCAAAAAGAAGAAGAAGAATCCCCAGTGGTGCTCATTCCCAGGTATCACAATAAGTCAAAATGTCTACATAAAGCACCTTTATGTACAGAACACCACCTAACCTTGAGTAGAGCAGTACAATCACACTGGCATTTCTGCTGACTACCTGGTTGTTGTACATTTAACTGATAAAGCAGCAGCTGATATGCTGAAACACACAAAGACACATACAAACACCCACCCTGGCCTTATCTGCTGCACACTTTGTATTTTGCCCTTACTCTATCAGCAGTCTGTCTGTCTGTCTTTTTATCCTTATGTGCGTCTGTGCCACTTTGGACCCAGCTGAAGGGTTCACCCCTCCCTTTTCCTCTATTGCTCACAATCCACCCAGCACCTGGATCACCTGTGTCTTTTGAGTGTGTGTGTGTGTGTGTGTGTTTGTTTCTCTGCGTGCATGTGCGTGATCATCTGCGCTTCTGCATCTTACATGTGCGTCACTGCTGAGCCTAAGCCTGAGCTTCACTTGTCAGATAAACACTGCCGATTTGAAATAATTTGAGAGAGACACAAGGAGGGAAGCTGGCAGAGATTATGAGAAAGAGAAGGGAAGAAACAAATGCCGACTACTTTTCTGCTGTTTGTCTCAGGAATGTAAACGAGTCGGAGCAAAGCAGCTCCTGTCTGAACATGCCGACGCGCACACACACACACACACACGCACACACACATGGTTTTATAACACTACACAGGCTCACCAAGCTTAGATCGGCTCTGTAAACATGGAACACATACGGTGCTGCAGCAGGAAACAGAATTAAGAGCCATTTCCTCTGCTCTTCTGCGTGTTACACGGGTGATCCACATAAATTTCTAGCTCCATAATCTGTAGCTTAAGGTGAACACAGATTAATAGGAAGGGGTAAGATTAGCTGCTCTTGTGGGCACCGTACACAAAACTAAATGGATATTTTCAAGCAGCAATTGAGAAAAATGTCATTTGCGTGAGCTGCAGCCTGACTGAATGTTCTGCTCCTGTTACAGGATAGTCAGTGAGCTTAATGTGACGGGAATAGATAGATCAAAGTGACCCAGCTTACACCAATCAAGACTCATCACATCACAGACCTTGCTTCAATTTAGATAGCAAAAACTGGTCTTGCTGTGTGAGTAGGGTGTGTGTGTGTGTGTGTGTGTGTGTGTGTGCGCGCAGTCATTGTCACAAGAAATGACAAGAGTGTTTCGTCACGCCGATGCCGGGCTTGCTTTGGGAGAGAGGGAGGGGAACCGTCAGAGAGAGGAAGATGAAAGGGAAGAACTATTTTGAGAAGCCGCGATTTTGTGTGCGGACATCTTTCTCATCTCTGATTAGAGACCGGAGCTCTGCGCTGACCTTAAGGTATCGCCAGTCACTGCGAGTTCACGAGCGCATGTGCACAGCCATGTTTCTATTTCAGATAAAGCTGTGTCTTTGAATCAGCATGTTTGTCATTTTATGCAAGTGCAATGTTTGTATTGGTGTGAGTCATTTATATGGCCTTTTTTGGGTGTGTGTGGGTGTGTGTCTGCTCTCGCTGCTCTAGCTGGCCTGCCTGTCCTGTGGCTATGTCACTCTGTCCTTCCTGCTGTGTGTCCTCCCTCTCAGCCATTCTGGCTCCAGGCCATCTCCAGCCTGGCCATGACATTTACACCTGAACATGTAGTCTCATCACTAACACACACACACACACACACACACACACACACACACACATCAAGTTTTGAAAGAAATATATAAATACTGTGCATAATATTCCAAACAGAAATAAATGTCATGCCTTTTGCTGGCAGGGATAAAAGGATTACAGCAGGGACCAGACTGTACAGAAAATACATTGAGTCTGTTCCTGACTGTGACTGAAGCAAATAAGAAAATACTGAAATCAAGCCATTTAACACTGCTGCTAACACCCTGGTAGTTCCTCATGGACCCACTGAAGACACCAGACCACAACCAACTGATGTAGAAATGTGTTGCACAATAACTGAGCGTCTAATTTTTTCTATTGATACTGACGTTTTTCAATATCAGATTCCTTTCCCAGGCAACACTGAATTAAATGGTACATTATGTATCAACATCCATAGACCATGGTGTGGCAGTCTTCTCATTAGCCTGATGTTGCAGAAATATGTGATTTTTTTGTAAGTGAGGTAGACTGTTTTTATACAGATGGACTGGTTTCTTGTACAGCTGCAACTAATGATTTTTTTATTTTCTCAATCAATCATTTGGTCTATAATATATCAGAAAGTAGTGAAAATGCCTGTTATAATTTCCCATAGCCCCGAGGTGACATCTTCAAATGTGTTGCTCTATTCAACCAACAATCCAAAATCCAAAGATATTCTTTTTACTTTTGTGTAAGACAAAGAAAAGCATCTAATCCTCACATCTGAGAAGCAGGAACCAGCAAATCCAATGTTTTTGCTTGAATGATCCATCCATTAATCAATTAATTGAGTAATCATTGAGCTGTTTTTGGCCTCTAATGAAACTAACCAGTGAGTTATGCCTTATGTCTCCAACTGTCAATATCACTGAAACACCTTACTGTCATACAATAGTCTAAATGTTGATAGCAATCTGAGGGAACCAAAAATTATTGTCATGTCTGGAATTAGTCGCATCTAACACCACAATAAAAGTACACCTTTATTTAACGTGGATGAATTCACTGAGCATAAATAGTCTTTTCAAGGAAGGTCCTGCTCCACAGTCACACCTGGAAGCGCTCCAGTGTAACCACAGTCCGACCACTGCGGCAGCTGAGCAGCCTTGTTAAAGGGCACTTCAGCAGAGGTAATGAGGGATGTGCAACTGCTGCTCTGTCACTTTCTACTGCCATATTTATCCCTCCAGCTCCTGGACTTAACCTTCAGGCCACGATCCCGCTTCTCTTTTTCTGTGTACTACACTCTGGAAGAACTGTTTTCCCTTTCCGCACATTGTACACAGAAACTGTATTTGCTGTGACTTGAGGTTGTCATTTACATTTTGTATTCTCAGAAGAGGAAGAGAGAGAATTATGTGAAATGTGTCGGCACAAGTTCATTTAAGGATGTATCTTCCCTCTCGAACTTCTTTTTCCAACTGTGTATGTGATAATATTTACATTAATCAGAGATCTGATAAAGAAAGCTCAGTATGTTTTAAGTGCCAGCATTTCTTTTAAGGCACTAAAAGAACAATCATTTTTTAATCTAACACTGATCCTTCCGCAGGTGTCTTGGCCAACATGCTGTCTTTCTCTGAACACTATTTTCTCTGCATCTGACACAGACGGACACTGACATTGTATTCAGTCAGAATGACAGACCCTCAAACCACTCAGCTGCTCCACCGCCTCCAAACAACATGAACGCCAAAACAAACGGTGAAATCTGCATGTCACCATGTTGTGTATACATGTTGGGGTGCCACGTACGCAATCGTATACACATACACGGCTACATACTCTATCTCCACTCCAATCTCCTCCGACTGTGATTATTGCAGACATCAATAGCATGATGTTGTGGAAAGTGTTGCTATTTTCCCTCTTCGTCCTTCAGTGTTTGTGTAATGGAGCTCAGCCTTTTCCGGTTATTGTGCGAGAGAGCGACTGAGAGAGGGGTGGGGGTTAGGGTTAGTGGCCAGAGTCTGACAGAGCGGGTAGCCAGAATATCTGGGACACACACACACACACTCACACACACACACTTGTGCACAAATACACACAAGGACAGACTGACTGGCAGACAATCTGTTGGAGGCGGATCAGCATGAGCAAGAAGAGAGCTCACTGTCTAACTAACATGCAACACACAAACACATGCACGAACATAAATGTGTGGTCACACACTGACGAAGTCTACTGGGGGTAAATGTATGTGCGTAGGCGGGCTGACTGGCCAGAATCAACCAATCTTTTCCGCCTCGATCATGAAAAGTACACCGGATGTTGTAAGCCTGTTCGGCTGAGGTCGGAAAGGGCAGTGAGCTAACTGGGAACGAAGGAGTACACAGTGTGTGACAACGACTGAAACAGAGTAGAGAGGAGTCGAAGGAAGAAACAACAGATAAGAGTGGATGAAGATAAGACAAACAAGAAAGAGACGGGTGAAGACAGGAGGTGTTATTAAGGGTTGTGGCCTGGGATAAATCTAATCCACACAATCAAGGTCATTTGTGTCTCGCACCTCCACACACGCACTTGCAAACACACTCAAACAGCAGCCTGGCTCATCCGCCCGCCACTCTGGATTCCCCTTTAACCAACTGACAGCGATGCTCAGGGATAGGATGGGAGGAAGAGGGAGGAAAGAGGAAGGGAGGTGAAAGGACACAAAGCTCTGACCTAATGTTGTGCCAGAGAGGAGAGGAAAAGAACTGGAGAGAAGAAACACTGGGAGATGAAGACAGGAAGAGGGGAGGGGGTGGGGGGGCAGAGACCCAAAATAGAGAGACAGAGAGAAAGAGGAAGGGAAGAACGAGGCCTTGAGCAGGGGTAGGGAAGCGGTGATCCAAATGAGACGGAGAGGTTGAGGAGAAAGAGAGGGAGAGAGGGGAAAAAATAAAGGAGAGAAGCAGCGTCAACGCACGTCATTCTCCCTTCCCCTCTCAAGGAAAACTCTCCACTCCTCCCATCTCCCTCCGTCTCTCATCTCCTGCCTCGTTCTGTTGTTCCTTAAAAGACGGCGGGGGAAACGAGACGTGAGAGCAGAGAGGTCACAGGGAGGGGGTGGCGGGGGGGATTAGGAGTCGGAGTGTTGGAGAGAGAAGAGAGGGGACGAGAAAGAGCAGCAAGTCGAGGAGAGGTCGCAGAGGGGTGGTGAGAGGCTGAAGAAGAGAGAGGGAGAAGGGTCAGGGGGAAAGAGGGATGACGGAGAGAGAGAGAGAGAGAGAGAGAGAGAGAGAGAGAGAGAGAGACAGAGAGAGAGAGAGACAGAGAGAGAGAGAGAGACAGAGGACCTCCTGTGGATCGTCATCTGCCACATCCATCTGCCCGCGAGCAGTTATACCAGAGTGTTGCTCCTAATTCTTAATCGCTGTTAATCTCCCAACCACTCATCATCTCTCCCTTTCTCTGGCTTTCACTTTCATTCCTGTCCCTCACTGCACAACAGCCTGCTAGCTATAATTAAAGCTAGGGCTGCAACTAACAATTATATTCATGACTGATTAATCTGTTGCCCCCTTTTTTTTCTTCTATTAATCGATTTTCTGTAAAATTACATCACATTTGGGGGATTTAGTGTCTTGCTCAAGCACACTTTGACATGTGGACAGAAGGAGCCAGGGGTGATCCAGCCCACCACTCCACCAACTGAGCTACAGTCACTTGTAAGGTTAGAAAACTATGAAATCACAATTTGCCGTCTTCAGATCCACCGACCAAGAATCCCAAATTTTTAAATATTCTCCTCAAAACTGTGAAAAAGCAGCAAATTCTCACAGTGGAGAAGCTGGAAGTTGATATTTTTTCCTTGAGAAAAGAGCCAAACAATTATTCACTTATTAAAATTATCATTGATATTTGTCTCTTGAGCTAATCCAGTGACTAATCCAGTTGCCCCCAACCTTTTTGGCTTGTGACCAGAAGCAGCAATTCCTCATGACCCCCCTCATCTGAGGTTGCATACATTTGAATTTGGGAGAATAGTCAAGAAAGTGATGTTCCCTTTTTTACAGTTTCATGTGAATTGTTTTTGAATTGCTTCATTGGCTTGAAGGGGTAAAACTATCCAGTATTTCACAATAAAAAAAAAGGAACAGTTAGACAAAATTAAGAAAAATACTTTTGTCTTGCATAAACATGTTTTTTTCCTTCTTTTCTATCTTGTCCCTGGATTAATCGTTTCATCACTAATTGACACTCCAGCGATTTAATATTTCACTTCCATAATGCTGGGAACAGATTTTTAAAAAAGACTGGGTCAAATTTAAATTGCAGAGGCAAAAATATTCTGAATTGCATTGTACTCCATGTCACATGCAAACAGAACTTTGTGTGTTAAATCTTTGAAGTGCCCCTTTAATTGCAATACAATCTCAGCTGTGTGTCTCACCATCAAGTCTCACCTCCTCCCACCTTTATGTTCCCACTCACCTCCGTTTCTATCCGACTAGTTGCACAGGCTCAAATATGAGCATGTAAAGGACGCATGACACCTGAGAGTTGCAACACTGGAGTCTCACCGAACTGGTTACTTCCCCTCTCTTACATGAGCTCTGCACATAGATGACTCTAATAAAACTGTCTGTAGTGTTGACAGTTATTGTCTGAAATGGAGAACTTAACACTCTGCCAGAGGACTATGAGCTATAATGAAGAGAATATATTGTGAGGGCAGACGGGGCAATGGGTCTATGCTGAGCAATTAACCCTGTGAAATGGAGCTGTGAAGCTTTTATTGACATCACTGTGTGCGTGTGTGTGTGTGTGTGTGTGTGTGTGCAAACTGACCCGTGAAGAGGTCTCCGTTGCTGTAGGCCTTGCCGCGTCCCTCCTCATCGTTGGGCACGGCCGACACCTGCTTGGCCGAGGTGCAGCCCATGGCCTCACACTCTGAAGCCTCTCCTCATCGCACTCTCACCTGGCCAAGGACAGAGAGACGACATTTTAGATACATGACAAACACAATAAAAACGAACAACACTGCTGTTCTGTTTTTACAGTCTACTTTACAGATATCATTTCTCAGAAGTGCTGTACCGTTTGCTTTGCTACCGTGACTGTCACTCGTGCTAACTAACTCTTTCTTTATTCCAAACAAACTGGGTCGATCGGTGGAAAAATGCCTTGTACAGTGTTTTCTCACAGCAACAACAGCTAATCAGTGTGATATTTGCAAGCACATTATGTATATGGCGGGACACAGACAGTTCAGAGTCAGACATGTAGGTTGAGTCATAATACATCACCAGAAAGGGAAGTGAGCATTTATATGAAAATGTTGCAAGTTATTCCTTCAGCCTCTTGTTTCTTTTAGGCCCAAACATAAACACTGTCATTATATGTGGCGAGCAGGAGCAACAGGACAGCCCTGTGGGTAAAACAACATCGCCTGATTTAAAGTAGGACTGTCGATACATATATATTCTGATCATATTAATTTTGAGAACAAGGAACCTAAAGTATTTGACATTTTCATTTGAAAAAAGACTTAAAGCTTTATTAGTTGATTTTACAACCACTTGGTGTCAAGGGAACAAGCTTTTTTTTTTGTTTTGCTGAATACAGCTGTCCGCTGTCGCTGGAAATGAGGTTAATGAGAACGAATCAAAACATTAAAGTCGCCGGGCCAGAAAACCAAAACAATGAGCTAAAAAAATGCTAAAACGCTCTGTATAGCTTAGGGGAACTGCAGAGACGGGTGATCATTTTGGGTTAATCACTACAAACAACGCTTTTCCCTGTTCATCAATTGATCCATTGTTAATACAAAAATACTGTTAAGTGCAGCTTTAAAATGATAAATTACTAAAATTGTTGTTGATTGTTCAGTCCATGTATATTTTCAACATTACACTGAAACCTAGCGTTGGCTTATGTTAGCCTTGTTGAAGTGTCCTCAAATCAAACAGTTGTTGCTTAATATCATGACATAGGAATAAAATCAACTTAATACTTCATTATAATTCCGAAAGGAGGATACTAAAACCCTCCCACCCAGCAGGACAGCTGACACAAGGCTATGAACCACTGTCAGTCAATCACATGCACTGTCAGACACATTACACTATACATAGTCTCCATGTCACTCACACATGCCATATGCTGTCATTGACAGAGCCCATCTGACTGCTGCCAGTTGCACAAAATGCACACACACACACACACACACACACACACAGGCAGCCAATAAGTACCCATCACCAAAATGAAATCTGCAGCGCCGGTACAAGTGAGAGGAGGAAGAGTGTTGGATGAAGAGAATGGAAGGTGTTGGAGAGGCTTTTTTTGGAGAGGCAGAAACACTGACGAGACAGAAAGACAAAGAAAGGGAGGAAGTAGGTGGGGTAGATGAAGGGGGACATGGGTGAAGGAAAGGATGGAAAATAGGTGGGATGGAAAGAGGCCAAGGGAGAAAGATGAGTGCAGTTCTTCAAAAGAACGCCGCCGCCTGCCCCTCCTCCCTCCTTCAGTGATCCTCCGAGCGTTTGAAGTTGACAGGAGGCCAGTGTTTACTCCTGTGTTTAGGCTACAGCCGACCAGCCTCCATTTCTCTGGACACAACACAAAGCGCCAGGTGTACAGGGTTGCGGGGAGTGGTTTCTGTGCGACTATGTGTCCGTGTGTATGGGCATTGTATGACTTAAGTGTGCGGATGGTTTTGACTGTACTTTATGTTGTTGTGGTTGTATAGCTAAAGGATCGTTTCAATTTAGCAAAAGTTGGGTCTTATTTTTGTAGATTTGAACAGCATTCCTAATCGGTAATAATAAGATGGCACTCGCAAAGAATAAAACGTCAAAAAAAGACTGCCAGGCACGAGGACCATGCGCAGTCATGTGATTATACAGGCTTTAAAAGAAATTCCCACTCCCAGATCTCATCTATTAACTTGATGAGTTATTAGAGCTTTCCCTTTTTATTCAAAACTTGAACTACTCTTCAAACTTGTGAAAAGAATTAAATATCCAGACTAGAGCTGCAGTTTTCAAGTTTTTTCATAACTGATTCTTCTACCGATTATTTTTTGATTTATCAATAAATATAAAATGACATCAATCTCTGAGGCCTGAGCCGAGCTTACACATGAATTTCTCAAAAGGCATGCAGGTGAGAGGGAGAAAAAAGAAAAATCAAGACACTCACACACACACACACACACACACGCACACACGCACACGCACACGCACACGCACACGCACACGCACACGCACACGTAAGCTTTGGATGTGTGTAGCTGTGTGGTGTCACCTATGGCCTGAGCGTGAAGCCTGGTCGAGAGAGCATCTTATCAGCCCGCTCCAGGCTGCCTGGGACCCCTCTTACCTCGTACTTACACCACTCTGGAACAACTCAATTATGTGTCACACCCACACTCATAAAGCCACACAGACATGCACAACTGGAAGGTCTTAATGCGGTCGCAGGCACACCAGCGGCAAAGTTTTGAAAAATAATCTCATCTAGCATAATCTGCCGCTTGACAGGTCGCTTAAATGAGGATTCCGCGCCGAGGAGGATGAGGTGGGTACCCGGTGACACTGCTGCAGGGTGCGTGTTACCTGTCAGAGCACTGTGAAGCAGAGAGGCGAAAGCCAGAGAGAGCTACAGAGACAGAAAAAGGGGGAGAAAAAGCACAACGAGAGCCAACAAGAGAGAGAGGCAACAAAGGAGGACCAGTCAAAGCTCTTTTAACTCTAGGCTATTAGTATAGAACTGACGTGAATATTAGATTAGCAAAGCACAGAGACTCCCTTCTGAAAACCACTGACGGAAGTGTATTGAGAAATGTGAGAAGCCTTGATAGATTTGAAGTTTCAAAGGGTCTCCAGTGTGTGGGCAGCATCTGTTTGAAGGGCTTTGATTTATGTGTATTGAGACATCAAATTGTGAGTAGGAGCTGGCTAAAAATAGATCTAGCAGTCCCAAAGCTATTGTTGTGTGCAGGGATAATGCTAGGCTGTGTGAATCTGTAAGCCACGCTGCTGTTACTTGGGTTATACATATAAGCTACAGCTAGTAGGCAGACTATCACAAAGCCAAATATACCTATAAATAAATACCAGTGACGCCTGCAATAAGACAGAGGATAGAGGGACACTTCAATGACACAAAAATCTGTTATGTGTTGAAATTCAAGTAGTCATAACTAGTATGTTTTGAAAGAAACTGGTCATAAATCAGTCGTGGTAACAACCTCTTCTCCTGGTGAAATCTTCTTCAAATTCCTCCACTGAGATGAGAGATGCACACTGTTGATTATGGCACTATATTTTATTCAAAAGGCAAGGGTTTTTAAGACCTTCCAATCATTTTCAAAAATGATTTCAAAAAAGTTTTGTTTTGATTTTGTTGCCTCGATTGCATAATTTTTGCCCTAAATCAGCTCAAAGAACTAGTCCCCATTCTCAACGTGACCCAAGACGAAATCACAAAACACATATCTCTGCCACTAAAAACTGTCTTGTCAAGTCTTGTTTTTGGTCAAATTCAGTCAACTTTTACCTCTTCAGGCCTCAAAAAACTGTCCAAATGAGACAGTCAGAGAGGGGAAAGTTACTTTTTGACTGAACAGTTCAAAACACATAGACATGGACCTAATACACACTGCTTCATATTAAGGGATCGCAAACGTAAAAAGGTACTGGAATAAAGAACAATTAGAACTCAAGGATCAGTATTCTTTTGCATCTTCTTACTCTTTTGCATGTGTTTCACTGTACAATGAGATCAGTGCATACACTTTTAGCATTGGCGACTTCAGCTGGAATCAGCCTGTGTTAGTATTGAGCTCTATCCAGCAAGCTGCTCGGTGCCACATGCGAGACCACAGTGGGGCGTTGCTTGGTGTTTATTTAACCCACAGGACAGCTGGACTGCGCTGCTCTGAGCTCGCCTACTCCTGCAGACGCTGAAGTGTGTCAATGGGACAAGCTTACTCTGGCAAGCCAGCTAAGACCCTCGCACCAAGCAACTATCTTCTGCTCCTGCTACCAAACACACACACACACACACACACACACACACACACACACACACACACACACACACACACACACACACACACACACACACACACACACACACACACACACACACACAGACTGAGCCAACATGATCTGATAAACATCTAATGTCTGAAGGGGATAGGAGTTGTTAATACTAGCTGGCACACAACTAGGTCTGCATGCATGCAACTCGCTTCAGACGCTTAACATTCATCTCGGGGCATATTCGCCAAAGCAAAGTAGTAGCCTAATTTAGAGATATAAATAATGCCATGATGTCAGCTAACAGGTCTTGCATCATTTCGAGCTAAACTTACAACAGATTTGGCAGAGAGCCTCTCGTCAATGTTTCACCACATAAACAATTTGAAATACAACAAAATAATAATGCAAACCTCACAGCACAGAGGCCTATAGCTCCTCTTAAATGCAAGTAAAGGTCAAGAGGAATCCTTAACACATGGCAAATACCCAGGCCCTTAAAATGAGTAGGATTTGGCAAACATAGAGGCTTGCCCATGCCTGCATACCTGGAGGTGAGACATAACCCACTAGTTGTGTGAATAAGCCTCCTTTACAAGTCAGTTTGTCAAAGGAGGAACTCAAAAACGGACTGTGGAGGGAGATGTGAGTGTACATGCTTGCATAAACACACACCGTACACACAGGCTGGGCAGTGTGCAGTGTGAAGGTTTCTCAAAAAACAGGGTTGTGCCAGAGGCAGAGCGAGCGACCGCAGAGCCTGAAAAACTGGCTCAGCAAAAGCGAAAGAAAGGAGACCACGAGAGGGAAGTTTTGGGAGGCATTTAACAGGTTAATTTTTTTGTGTGTGTGTTTTTTTTTTTATTTTGCTCTGTGTGTATCAGTTCTCATCACAGGGAGTGCCAGACTGTGATTCAGCCTCTTAGTAAGA